TGCATTTCTCAAAAAAAAAAAAAAAAAAGAGTTAATGCCTTTTGACTAAAATATTGAAGAGTCAAGTTCTCATTTGAAGAGATCCAGAAGGACTTATTCCCAATTTTTAGAAAAATAAAGTCTTCTGACTACATGTGCCATTTATTCTAAGAAATTTTAAATGAAGTCAGGCGACCCCTTGCTGCCTTCCTTCTTTCTTTCCATAATGGTATATGTGCTTTATGACATTTAATGTTTATCAGATTCTTCTGAGAGTATGAGTCATGTTGACTCATGGTAGCAATCCTTAGCAACACTAAATGTCTGCTTTGTTTTAGCTTGGTAATTCACTAATAAAATGCATGGTGTTGAATTTAAACTACGACATGTAATTGGTTGTGTTTCTGTTCAGACATGCTTATGTGTAGCTTTGTAGAATAGGAAGATGAACCTGATCCCACAGTTTTCATTTTATTTGTTTAGGACAAAATTTCAGAGAATAGCGTGGCCATGGACAAAGCTGTTGGAGCGAATCAGATATGCAGGTGGAAAGGATAAGTAGGTGACATTTGTTTTGAGGGCGTGCCTCCCTAGTGTGTGTGCACATATGTCCTACTTGTAAAGGTAAAGAGGTTTTATTGATTGATAAGGGATGGCGTGTTTGAACCTGTGCTGGACAGTGGAAAAGACCTTCTAGCTGAATGCGCTGGGCACATCAAAAAGGCACAAGAGGCTAGTGAGGTGCAGTGATCCCTGTGTGTGGTTTGCTCAGAGAGACAGGCGGGCAAGCCTAGACTTTGATGTTTGCTTCACCGAAGGCAATTCTAGCGAAGACTTAGATATCATGAATGACTGTGGACTCTACTTCCCAAACCTCAGAGCTAGGCCTCAGGCAAGTATATTCCTCTCCAGTGCATGCCTTGGGCTGCAGCCACAGCACACCCATGGTTAGGGCAGGCCCTGTTTAGAATAGTTGGTCCAGAACTGTGTCACTTGTCATCTACCGTCACTGACTTGCTTGCTGGCCTGGAACGGCAGTTGGGTGGGTCTGTTGAGACCCCGGAGGACCCAGACACGTCACGGTAAAGGAGTGCTCCCCCCTCTGCTGCTGCCTTTACTACACTGAGCAAACAGCTGTGAATCAACCCTAGACAGTGTTGGAACTGAGTGGGAAAAGACTCTCATGCTCCCACGCCGTGCCACATAAGGGCACCGTGGTGCCAGGCTCACCACCTACAGGTGATAGGCACGGCCTGCAGTTGTCCCCTACTTGAGAGAAAGGAGAGTCGTCTCCTCTCTCCTTTCTCCATCTGTCTCCCTTTGCCCCGTCTCTCACATTCAGGATGGCAGGCATGGGTGGCTTCTGTCTAGCCATTGCACTTTGATATTTGGTCCTGCCTCAGCCGTCATCTTGCTCTCACTGAAGCCTGCTGAGTTTCATTCTAGCACCAAGTCGCTCGCCCCTTTCTGCTTCAGTGCCTTCCCAGCGCCTCAGCAGAGAACAGTAAGAGTTACTGCTGTTGATGCATTTTAGCATTGAGTAACAGATGACGTGTCTAATGAACAGCGTGGCTGCTGAGATTGCATAATTATAGGTTTGACTGACTTCAGAAAAACCATGAGCAGGCCAGCTTCATCCAGTTAGAGACTTCTCCAATTAAGTAAGTTTCAGAGTATTTCAATCTAAAATGGAGCCCTCTTCCAGTGATTATACTATACTGCCCTTTGTTTTCCTGGCGTTTGCCCCTGAGTAGGGGGAAAAAGAGAGAGACGAAATGAAACAGCCACACTTGTACGTTAGGAAGTACAGGTTCTGCATAGTGTTAGAAAGAGCACCGCTCAGCATTGTGGGGTAAATTCAAAGAACAGCCTGATGCTGGCATGCTTACAGACAGCTAGAATTTTTAATGCAAAGCAGGAATTATCTGTGCCCTCTGGACTTGGCGTGCTGGGGTAGAGGTGGGGGACGTATTTCAGCTAGTTATTGTACTAACTTCTTGGAACAGTTTCTTAATCAGTGTGCCAGGTGACAGGTCTCCCAGAGGCCTTGAGGTCTCCCCACCGGGCTTTTCAATGTGCATATTGGCTTGGAAGTCAATGTTCATGTATTTGATGTAGGTTCCTGAAAGAAAGGGCTGAGTGTAATAAGTAATTGTTGATAGGATGGCATATTGAAGAAATTTCAATATTTCCAGCCTTCCTAGGCCACATTTGGTCAGGAAAGAGCAATTAGATATATGGGTAATGAAAACAATTTCTAACTGTGAATGCTGCTAAGAAGGAAGTGTCTCTGCACTTGGATTCTTTGCAGAACTCTGGTTTGTAACATGAGTTCTAATAGGTCCTAATAATAAATGCCTGGAGTCTGATAATAGGGGGTGAAAGCTGAAGACCAGAGAAGCAGAGCACTAGAGCTCTTACCTCAACTGAATCCTCAGACTGAAAAGAGTGAGCGCCTGTCTCCCCCTGCCTATTTTCCTCTCTCCTCCTAGCCTGATCACTGCCTCTCTGTCGGTACAGACCTCCAGACCTCTATGGTTAACTAGTGGCTAGCTCTGCCCTCTGATCTTCAGGCAAGCTTTATTTGTCAGAATATAAATGAGATATCACTCACTACCCTGGTTCCCTCCAACCATTTCTCTGTATTCTCTTTGTTGCCTACAGGCGGTTTTAGCAGCTGCTATCTGTGTGCTTGGCTGCAATTACTCTTGGAGTGTGCATCCTTGACTTTGGAGTGGCTGGACTTGGGCTGTTGTTCTCTTTGTAGTGGGTGACTTGTTCATTGTCATAGCACTCCAAACGACCTGTGAGGATGGGAAAAGATACTTTCCCCATGTAAAACTTAGTGTGCTTCTAACCCCGGGGGAAGGTTTTCTTTTTCTTACCCATTTCTTCTGTTTGAGGAATTTAGAAAGAGTCTTCCAGGATCAGGGCCACTAAGCCTCTGACCTACTTGCTGTTCTCAGGGACTGGCTGGGTGCTGAATTGAAGCTCTCAGGCTGTCTGAAATCCTTGCAAAGTAGTTGGAGCCTCTCATTTTAAAATTGCTTTATTCAAGAAAGTGGCATCTGTGTTTTGCCATTAGAGAGCCAGAGTTAGAAGTTTGGTTCTTCTTCTGCTTGGTACCATTGTTACTTTGAACAAGTTACTTTAGCTTTCTTCTGTGTGAAGGCAAGAAAAACTGGTAGTGTGGGTTTGTAATATCAGCTGTGCTGGAGGCCAAGGCAGGAAGATCCCTAATTCAAGGCCTTTTGGTTTAATTCCTGGTAATGAAAGAAAACGAAACAACCAACCACCTGTCTCAACGTTGCTGAGCAGTGAAACACAAATACAGTGTGCTGGCAGGCGCGTACCCACGGGTTGGTTAATAGTTACAACTGTTTCTCTCACTGTACACGTGTGTTCTGTCTCTTCATGGCCATTGCTGTTACACTTTGCATCTGTACCAGCCTCATAGTGGCAGTCTTGCCGAGATGGGTATGCCTTCTAAGAATTTTGTCGTCTTTGTGTGACTCTGCCTTTCATTTTTTCTGATGGGAAAAAAAAAAATCACAGTGAAAATAGAGCAGACAAATGAGTATATATCCCATATGTTTTCTTTATTTTAATCACTGGAATTTCAGGTAGGACATTTCCAAATTTAGGAAATAATGGTCCCAGGAGAATATAGGAGAAAGATTAATTCTGCAACATTTTGTTAGGTCTCAGGAACACTACATACCATTCTTGTCCATGGAGAGACGATAAAATGGGGATAAGAAAGGCTTGATTGTGTATGTTGCCAGAGTACAAAGTGTAGGTGTTAAAATAAATTAAACAAGTAGTTTCTTCTAGGTTGGTATAATTTCAGAACAGACAGGATTTGAGCTCAACTCTTGAAGGATGTGCAGATTAAATCTGATGGAGAGTCTTAGGAAGGGCTTTGAGAAAGTGTGTGGATGTGTGTGTGTGTGTGTTGAGATGAGGTATATGCACACTAGGCTGACCTTGAACTCCTACCTCTCCTCAGCCTCATGAGTGCCACCACACCTGGAACTGGGACATTTTTAAAAGATTGTATTTTTGTATTTTGTGTTTAATTATGTATGTGTGGGGTTAGGTGTGGTGGGGAGAGGGAGAGCTTATTTGCATGTGACTGCAAGTACCCCGGAAGCTGGAAGAGGTTATTAGATGAAGCTGGAGTTACAGACAGTGTGAGAGCTGGGCACTGAACTCAGGTCCACTGTAAGAGCTGTGTGTACTTTGAATGTCTGAGCCATCTCTCTAGCCCCTAGGTGGGGTAATTTTGATGGTGGAAATACATGTTGTTGAATCCAGTGACTATCCAGATCCTCTAGGTAATGGGTCTTCTCCTTCTCTGGTCTACTCCCAGCCAAGTTGTAGTAGCAAACATCAAAGCCAAGGAAGGAAGTGTGACCTACAGGTGGCTTCATCTAAGGCTCCAGAGCCCAGAGAATGTCTGGAGGAGCTGGTAACCACAGGAGAAGAGCAGTGTAGCCTGAGGGCCAGGGGTTAGGGGGTCTTGGTCTGAGACCAAGAATGGTGGAGATGCAGTAGAGTGGTCTTTTCTCCTGTGTTGTAGAAGGGGGGCGGGGAGGTCAGAGACCAGAGCTTGGTGTTCCTGAGGTTCACTTTGTTTTTTTAATCCTTTGTCCTCTTTTGTAGTAGTAGCACAACTCCCTCCCTCCCTCCCTCCCTCCCTCCCTCCCTCCCTCCCTCCCTCTCTCTCTCTCTCTCTCTCAGCTAGCTAGGGAAGGCATAGAGATTTGTCCTCTTCTACAAGAGGACAAAGGTGAGGAATGATGGACAAGATGTTACATGAAAAAGGCAAATGCCCTCACATCCAACTCTCTCCTAGGAAAGGACATACAAATAGACAAGTTTGATTGTTGAAGGGATTTTGGTGAAAAATGTAGTACTTTTACAAATTAGCCCTTTGGATGATTGTGTTGTCTGAATTTTTTTCCAGATGCGGCATTTGAAGTGGAAAATAGTAATCACAACTTCTTTTTCTCTTTCAGCTGAAGTGAGTAGTGAATACAGCATGGACAGGGCCATGGTTGAATTTGCTAAAATGGATCGAGAACTAAGCCATTACGTTAAGGCTGTCCAGTCTACCATAAACCATGTAAGTCTATTCCACTTCCCTGAGTGTTTGCCTACAACTCTCTGATCTAGAAATGGAAACAAAATTAAAATCTTTTCTGTCCTTAATGTCTCCTTGTCCTTACTATTGATCAGTACTGTCATGGAGCAGGAATCTGAGATATTTTCCAGCTAGTTACATAGGCTAATTAATTAGCACAGGAAATGCATTTTAGATTTTAGATTGTCTTGCATTTTTGTCTGAAAAGTTTTAGCATAAGCCCTTTCAAATGTGAACAGATTTTCATTAAAATGTGGGAAGTGTGTGTGTGGCTTGTTTCTGTTGTCAGATTTGCTTAAGCATATAACTTAGACCAGGCTTAGTTACTTATTCTCTACCTTTAACTAGTGTTCATCTCTTGCAAAATTGTTAGGATCAGATAGCATGGAAGCATTTCGAGAAAGTTTAAAAATAAAAAGAGTTGGCATTTCGGTTATTCCAGAGGCCAAGCTTATCTCTGTTGACTCCAGCTGTCACAGGAACAACACACACAGCAGTTGAGGTGGGAAGGTAGCAACATCCTCTTTGGTAGTGCTGTGTTGAGTAAGAAGTGAGCAATAAGATTGCATTAATGCTTCTGAGAAACCCTTTGTCTCTGAGCCATGGAAACTCCCTGTCCAAGTGATTTCTGATACCTGTGTAATAGGGTGGCTTGTTCTGGTTTCTCTATTTGCCTTTTCTTCTTATGGCTATGGGAAAATTCCAAAGAGCAAGTATTTAACAAGACCAGCTGCTGTTCAGGTGAAGATAAAGTTTTATATGTTGTCCAATACTTAAGCCACTGAAATGAGCATTAAACACAGATTTTCCTGTTTTTGTATGGCTAGTCTCTGGTTTAAGAGATTAAGACTAGTTACTTATGGCTAAATAACTCATTCAAATTGTAAAAGTTCAGTGCTTTTGGCTATTGTGACTTAGGTCTAATCCTCTGGATAAGTTTTTTGTCTCTGCTTTACTTACTTACTTACTTACTTACTTACTTATTTATTTTGTTTGTTTTTTTGAAGCAGGATTTCTCTGTGTAGCCCTGATTGTCCTGGAACTCGGGCTATAAACCAGACTGGCCTCAAACTCACGGAGATCTGCTTGCTTCTGCCTCCTGAGTGTTGGCCACCACCACTGGCCAAAGATTGATTGATTGATTGATTGATTGATTTAACATGTTTACCTGCTTGCCAGAAGAGGGCATTGGATCCCATTTTAGATGTCCGTGAGCTACCATGTGGCTGTTAGGAAAGTGAACTCAAGACCCCTGCAAGAGCAAGCAGAACTCTTAACCACTGAGCCATCTCTAGCTTTCTGAATATTTTTTTTGTTATGAAAATGCACTTTGGTGACATATTTGAAAATAGGTAATAAAGCAGTAGGCCAGAGAGCACTAGACCAGGGCATGCATGCATGCATTCATTCATTCATTCATTCTGCTTCTTCTTCCTCCTGCCCCTCCTTCCCTTCCTCCTCTTGCTCCCTCCTCTCCTCCTTTCTTCTCCTTTACTTTCTTTCCCCTTGAGATAGGGTTTCCCTACATCAGTCTCACTGCTCAGTCCTCAGCTGGGATGATAGGCATTTGCTAACACACTCAGCTAGACCAAAAGTTTTTAAATTCTGGTTGACTTCTAGAATCAGCCAGTTAGTTCCTCCTCTTCCCCCTTCCCCCATATCTGGAGCTGCCCTGGAACACTAGGGATGTTTTTTTGTTTTGTTTTGTATGATTCTGTTACCAATATGTATCCACAGTTGAAAACTACTGATGTGAGCTCAATTGACTTTAAAGAATGTGGCATGTTTGGTACTAAAGATCAGAGTCAGGCCTCTCTCTCTCTCTCTCTCTCTCTCTCTCTCTCTCTCTCCTCTCTCTCTCTCTCTCTCTCTCTCTCTCTCTCTCTGTGTGTGTGTGTGTGTGTGTGTTGTTTTGTTGAGACAGGATTTGTCTGTGTAGCAGCCCTGGTTGTCCTAGAACTTGCTGGCCTCAAACTCACAAAGATTTGCCTGACTCTGCCTCCCTAGTACTTGGATTAAAGACATAAGCCACCACTGCCCAGCGACCTGTATTTTTTATGGTGTTATTTGATAACTACCTTTAGCTTTTGTATATGCAAGCAATATGTATATGTCCTATACTACTGACCACAAAAACAAAACAAAAAAAACCAAGATTTTGGAGTCAAATAATTTACACCCCCCCAACTTTAGGATTCACAGGTACTTGATATACTGTTAAAAGAAAAATATACCTCTTCAAGTTCTCTCGGCCCTTTCAAGTTCCCCTTTGTTGTTGTTATTTTAAGGCAGAGTCTCACTAAATATCACTGCCCGGCATGGAACTCAGTGCCTCTGCCTCTTGAGTGCTGGGAATAAAGGCATTGCCACCACCCCTGGCCTCAAGTGCTCTTAAAGAAGAAGCTAAACGGTCTTTCTGTTTATGGACTTTTACATAGTCACAGAAAGAGTTTAGAAAGACATTACTTCACTCATTAAAGTACTTATCATCTGAACAGACAACTTTCTCTTCTACTCTGCCCTTGAATTTAGAACTTATACATCTTCTTAAATGTTTGGGAAGTTCACTGTGGAACCTTAGCTGTCTGTGTTAATTTTCCAATAATTCCCTGGGAAGTCCTGTTAGCAGTTAGTAGGCGCTCTCAAATTGTCTCCTTCTGTCCTTGAAGAAAACGGGGCTACTGTACCCCTAAGTCTGAGGGTTAATTGGGAATCAGTATTCATTTCAGTGCTCTAAAACCTAAAGGGAAAAAGGACCTTGTCTTAGCAAGTTTGTTTGTAGAGGGAATAGTATGTAGTGAGGACTGTAAAAATTACCACTTTCTAAAAAAACATTTACAGAAACTTTCAGGATGAGTGGGTTTTACAACTGTGATTTATTTGGATGGAGACTTTTCAGTCATGAGAGCACTCGTGTTATACAGGTGTTGTGGAAAGTATGAAGTGGTACAGATAGAGACACCTAAATGGTATAGGTACTTCCTTTATTACAGTTTACTGCCCTGGGAAACCTACCTATCTCCCATCTTGTGTGGCGACAGAGTGATGTCCTTAGCCCTGCCATCCCTCCCTAGCTTTCTGAGGTAGTGCACTGAGTGAACTCTGTTGCCTGCCTCTTCCCCCAAATGTGTAATGAATAAACACACACCTGTATGCCAAGCACTTGTTGTTGGTGCAGGACATCCAGAAGTCAACAAACAAGAACCATGTGATCTGTGGCTGTTGTGGAGTATCCCTTTACACTGCGAACATATATCACTGTGACTAAATGGCCAATAGCTAGGCAGGATTTTCAGGGCAGAGAGGATGCTGGGAAGAAGGAGGAGATGCCAGAAATTGCAAAGCAAGCAGGATGGGCAGGAAGTAATTTAATAGAAATGGGTTAATTTAAGCTGTAAGAGCTGGTTAGAAACAAGCCTAAGATACTTTACCTCTATGTCCGAAGTCTGGGGCAGAATACAAACATTTAATGAAGAACAATAGTTGTTTAAATGCTATCACTGTGTGTGCTACAAAGGGGGAAATAAGGCATTGTGGGTAATTTAGTGACTCCACACATCTTTGATGGTTAGAAGCCTCCTTCCTGAAAAAGGGATGTTTCTGGTAAGAGTCAAATGACTCAGTGTGGAGAGTGAGTTAACTTCTGAATGTGCCTTTTGTCACAGGTGGGGGCACCTTAGTTGTGATGGTCTTTAATTTTTCACTTCCTTATTCAATTGGGACAGTATCATGTAACCCCAGACATTTGACCTCTCAGCTTGTGGGATTACCAGTGTGTACCTCTGTACCCAGATTTATGGGATTGTGGGGATCGAACTCATCAGGACTCGATCATGAGTGCTAGGCTAGCTCTCTGCTGATCAAGCTACATACCCCAGCCCACATTTCTGATAGTCTTTATTTATGTATTCACCTTTTTAAGATATATGTACCTTTTATTTGTGTGTTTATGTGTGAGCCTGTATGAGTTTATGTGTCGGTGTTCATGTAAGCTAAATGAAGGCATCACATCCCTTGGAACAGGCCAGTGTGGGTTCTGGGACCAGAACCCGGTTTCTCTGCAAGAACATTCAGTACTCTTGGCCATCACTGGGCCATCTCTTCAGTTCCTTCTGTGGGCTTCATGTCAAAGATTAGAGTGCCTTGATCATTCCATATTCTTAATTTCAGAAAAGCAGATGAAAATACCTGTCTGCGTAGGTTAGAACCTCAGGTACAGTGGCGGCCTAACCTGCAGGGGTCAGTCAATGACTGAGTTGCTGGCGGAGTTTTGAGTGTGAGCTCACGGAGGTGTGCCCGGTGAGTGTGAGCCATGGAGGTGTACCTGATGAGTGAGTGTGAGCCATGGAGGCGTGCCCGGTGAGTGGGAGGTGAGTGGGAGCCATGGAGGCTTGTGCTGGCTGGTGCGCAGCAGGGCAGTAGCAGAGGTAAGAGCAGCTTCACTGCTGGCGATTCTGGTTTTCAGGCAGAGGCTACTCCTGAAATTAGACTACTTGAATAAAACAGTGGTAGTCCTGCTTCACATTGTGTTGCCAGCGTCTGCACCTCCACCTGGAGTTTGGCCCTTAGGTTAGTGACGGTGGATGGGAACCATTCAAGGGATCCCCCACTGTCTTTCAAGTAAGAGAGGCTGCTGTGTCTGGGTGAGGTCAGAGGACAGCCTGCAGTTGCCTCTTCTTCCACCATGTGGGTCCCGGGGACTGAGCTCAAGCACCTTCACCCTCAGCCATCTTGATGGCCCTTACAACTTTGTAATGATCTTAATTGTGATGTTGAAGATGAACGGGAACCTTCAGGCTAAATGACAGATGATGCAGCTGGTTCTATTGGTCCCATAATGCGTCAGTCATCAATGATAAAGTGTCTTATGTCAGACATCCATAGAGCTAATGGAAAGTGATGGGGTTTAGGGTTGGCTTGGACGTACACTTTTAGAGCAAGCTCCAGCTCTTGGAGGAGGCGCCAGACTCACTTGTGGGGTT